AGAGAGATAGAAACATCAATGATGAGAGAGTCATTGATTGGCAGCCTCCTGCACGCCCCCAACTGGGGATTGAACCAGCAACCTGGGCATGTGCCCTGACCGGGAATCAAACCCTGATCGCCTGGATCCTAGGTCGACGCTCAACTGCTGAGCCACGCCCGGCCGGGCTCAACAGCTTTTTAATGGAGGGATGGAAACAGACTCTTCATGAAACACTAATGAAGTATTGTATGGTCCTCAGCGTCATAAGGGAAGGCGGGTGGGTGAGGCTTCAACCAGACTCCAGCAGGAGAGAGAGGCCCACCGCCCAGGGCAACATGGTGTAAGTGCCCTGCCTCACCTCGCACCTTTGCCTCTTGTGCTGCGTATCTTTTGAGACTGAAGCCCCCTCTAGTCCCTCGTGAGACTCTCCCAGCCTCTGCTGCAAGGTCCCCCTTCCCCGTGACTTCCACACAAGCCCATGTTTCAGGCTCTGCTCAAGCTTCCTTACCCAGCTTGGGGCTCCTGGGGATTTTTAGCTCTTCCTCACATGCTACTTGTAGGTTCCAGGAAATGGCCCTCTCATGCCTAAGCCCTCGATGGCACCCCCTCTGCTGCCTCCCAGTGTCCTTGTAATGTGGGGCACCTCCAGGGCAGGAGGCTTGCTCTCAAACTTCCAGGTAAGAAATACGTAGGAAGGAAGTCCCCTTTAAAACTGGGTCCTCTTAAATTTCAAAGAAAATTCTAGCACATTCTTTCCACACCTTGAGAATTATCTTGGGGCGGCGCCAAGAAAAGCACATGACTTTACCTTGCCCTTCCATCTCTCACCCCAAACGAATGATCAAGTCTGAGTTGAGGGTGTGAAAAGACTGGTTCTGCCGGCTCACCTGCATTTTTCTGTGTTTTCTGTCTCTTATCAAGATGATGCCTTCAAGATGTCAGGAGTTTGGCATTGGTACATTTCTGGAAAATGGGGAGAGGGGGGAATGCAGAAAATAAGTATCACGTATCAGTGTGGGATGAATTCCGGGCTTTTTCATAGAACAGTATCCAATCCTGTGCTGCTATTTGTTCACTGAATATGGGGGGAGGGAGGCGAGGATCAGAGATATGTTTTCCTTCCACAGAAGTTGAATGAAATCGGAGACTGACAGAGTTCTCTCTCCCACAGCTGTTCAATACAACAATAGAAACTTCTGAGAAGGCAGATGATTTAGAGCAGCGCATGGCCATACTCCTGGAGCAAACCCTCCTGACTGCGTACATCAATGTTTCGAGAGGACTCTTTGAACAACATAAACTCATCTACAGCTTTATGCTCTGTGTTGAGATCATGCGTCAGCAAGGAAGCTTAACTGATGCAGAGTGGAATTTCTTTCTCCGAGGTTCTGCAGGATTAGAAAAGGTACCTGTTTCAAGTTTAGATTGTAAATGTTATCTAGACAGAGCTCACAAGCACCTACCAAGGTTATACATTTGGCTGTGTGTCCCAGGGTGGGGGCACTGGGGGTGCGGAGGCCCAGGCTCTAGCTTAGCTCTGTCTCTGGGTGATGCGACATCCCCTTTGTGCAGCAATGGCCTCACCCACACAAAAGGGATGTTGGGAGTAACCAGTGAGCTAGAGGATGTGAATGGTTTAAAAAGTTGACCATCTTACAAATATGAAGGGTTAAAAAAATTTTTTTTTAATATTCACCTGAGGAAGGGGGATATCTTCCACTGATTTTTTTTTTCAAAGAGAGTAGAAAGGAGGGGGAAGGGGAAGAGAGAGAGAAACATTGATGTGAGAGAGACACATCAATGTGAGAGAGACACGTCCATTGGTTGCCTCCCTAACATGCCCCTACCGGAGGTAGGGATTGGAGCTGCAACCAAGATACATGCCCTTGACCTGGAATTGAACCCATGACCCACTGGTGCGCATGCCAACGTTCTAACCACTGAGCCACACTGGCCAGGGCTGAAGACTTAAAATTTAATAAAAGTTATAACTCACAGATTTGGCAATACTGTTTGTGAAATCATGATCCCCTATTTCCTCCTTGGGTCATCTTTCAGTATAAAGTATGGGTGTAGTAACTTGATTGTTTCCTTCTCTAACACTGTAACACGTGTTACAGTTTCCTTCTGCTACAGTTTTCCTTCTTCATATTCATCCTTTTATCTCACTTACCCTGGCCACTTAAGCTGGACTGACTCACCACATACTATAAACCCGGTGGCCCCCAAATTAAGCCATAGTCTCCCCAACTCCTGCCTATAAATCCATCTAGCTTCATCTAAACTCTTGGCTCTGTTCTGCCACTGTTGAACTCCGTCCTTGGTCCCTGCAGACATGATACCTGCACCGCTTTGCCAGTATTTGAGCATCAGTGTATCCCAGGGAAGTTGGACGTTATGCTTTTATTTGACACCCAGTGCCCTGTGCTCCCAGGAAAATCCCAGGCAAGACCTTGGGATGATCCTGCCTCCCCAACCCCCACCCATCTTGCATGCATACATATTCTATTAATGAGTTCTTAACTTCATAATCACAGTTAGTACTTAACAAAGGGCTAGCTGTGGAAGTAGATCGACTCATTTATTACTCTCAGTATTCTTCTTAAGTGAGTTCCTAGTTTTCTCTCTAGTGTGCAGATAATTAAGCACAGAGATTAATAACTTGTCATGATCACATATCTATAGTTAATAGGGTTTGGAACCAGGATTTGAACCCTTGCAGTCTGTAGAGCTTGCCCTCTTGCCCACTTCACTCCACTGCTGACTATTATTGGTCACCGAGCCCAGCCTTCTTCCTCACAGCACTTGTGTTCACGGCCTTGTGTATAGTTTTCCCAGGACTTAGAGAGCTTGAAGAACTTTCCACAGTCATATAACTGATGCATGGCCAAGTCTGATTCAAGCCTGTGTCTAAGCGTCCAAAGCCCACGTCTATTCCAGTACCACCTGATACTTCTAATGAACAATATATTTCAAAAAGAAATTTAAAATATGAATTAAAAAGAAATTTAAATATTATCAAAGTCAAAACTTAAAGTTAACCAGAAATCACCTTTAGAAACTCCTCAAACGTTTTTTTTAAATTAACCTTTCTTTTCCTCCACCACAAGGAAATATTAATGATTCTTGACTGATTTTTTTGGAACTGTGTGGAGATATCTTTTATCTAGTTACTTTACTTATTTAGTTACTAGTATCTTAACACTTGTTATTTTCCATTTTTATCATAAGTGCTCCATCTCAATAGGTCAATAAATCAATAGAATTAAAAAGAAAAACCACGTGATCATCTTAATAGACACAGAAAAAGCGTTTGACGAAACCCAACATCCTTTCATCAGAAAAACACTCAACAAACTAGAAATAAAAGAGAATTTCCTCAACTAGATAAAAGGTGTGTACAAAAACCCACAGCTAACATTCTTAATGGGGAAAGCCAGGATGCTTTCCCTCTAAGATCAGAAACAAGAGGGGACGTCTGCTCCAACCACTTCTTTTCAACATTGTACTGGACATCCTCCTCAGGTCAAGCAGATGAGAAAATGAAATAAAAGGCATCCAGGTTGGAAAAGAATGAAAACTATCTCTATTTGCAGATGGCATGATTTTGTATATAGAAAACACTGAGGAACCTATTTTAAAAGCCATTAGAATTAATACACAAGTTCAGCAAGATTGCAGGTACAAAATCAATAGACAAAATTAATTTGTATTTCTTCTGCACACGTGCAATGAACAAGATGAAAATGAAATTAAGAAAAAAATTCCACTTGCAGTGGCATCAGAAAGAATAAAATATTTAGATATATATTTAACAAAGGAAGTTCAAACTCATACTCTGAAAACTACAAAACATGTTCAGAGACATTAGAGGACCTAAATAAATGGAGAGAAATATCCCACATTCATGGATTGGATACTTACAGTTGTTAGGATGGCATGTTCCCCAAACTGATGTACAAATTCAATACAATCCTTGTCAGAACCCCATCTGACTTCTCTATAGAAATTGACAAGCTTATTCTGAAATTCATGTGGAATTGCAAAGGATCCTGATCCCAAAGCTTACTACAAAGCAGCAGTAATCAAGACGGTGTAGCTAGCATAAAGATAGATATGTAGATAAATGCAATCAAATGTGAGAAATAAAACCATATGATTGTGGTCAACTAGTCTTTAACAAGGGTGCCAAGACAATTTATTGGGAAAAGAAGTCTTCTCAATAGTGCTGGGACAGCTGTATAACCGCATGCAAATGAGTGAAATTGGATCCTTACCTCACACCGTATTTAACTTAAAATAGACCAAATATCTAAATATAAAACCTAAAACTCTTAATAGAAAACAGGAGTAAATTTTCATAATCACGTATTTCACAGTGGATCCTTAGATGTCCTACCAAAAGCATGAGCAACAAAAGAAAAAATAAATTGGACTTCATCAGAAATAAACATGTACTTGCTTCAGATGACACTATCAAGAAAATGAAAGGACAACTCACAGAATGGGACAAAACACTTGCAAATCATATCTGATAAAGGATTTATATCTAGACTATATAAAGAATTCTTACAACTCCACAATAAAAAGACAATAGACAAAGGACCTGAGGAGATATTTCTCCAAGAAAGATATACCGAACTAAGCAGGTGAAAAGATGCTCGACGCTGTTATTCATCAAGGAAATGTAAATCAAAACCACAAGGAGATACGACTCACACCCACCAGAATGGCTATAATAAAAAAAGACAGATAATAACAGTTGTTGGTGAAGAAGTGGGGAAACTAGAACCCTCGTAAACTGCTGATGAGAGCAAAAATGGGGCAGCTTCTTTGGCATACAATCTGGCAGCTCCTCAAATACAGTGGTGCCTCAGTTTTCGAACGTCTTCGTTGACGAACATTTCGGTTTACGAACGCCATAAACCCAGAAGTAAATGCTTCGGTTTTCGAACATGCCTCGGAAAGTCGAACATGCCACACAGCTTCCACTAAGGGCAAGATCCTGAGGCCTACCTGTCAGCTGTTGATCCCTCGGTCTTTGGTTTTGGAACATTTTAGCACTCAAACGTTCTTCCAAAACGGATTACATTCGAAAACCGAGGTACCACTGTAATTAAACATAGAAGTATCATATGACTCCGCAATTCCACTCTTAGGTATATACCAAATCGAAAACATATGTCCACACAAAAACTTGGACATGAATATTCATAGCAGCATTATTCATAATAGTCCAAAGGTAGAAACAAGCCAAATGTCTATCAACTGATGAGTGGATAAATGAAATGAGCCATATCCATACAATGGAATATTATTTAATTATAAAGAAGAATGAAGTGCTAATACATACCACAACCGTGAAACATGAATAAACCTTGAAAGCATTAAGCTCAGCGAAAGAAGTGAGTCGCAAAAGGTCACATATTATAAAATTTGATTTATATGAAGTGTCCAGAATAGACAAATCTTTACAGACAGAGATCAGTTTAGTAGCTATTTAGGGCTAAGGGGCATGGGCAGACAGGAGGGTAATAGCTAAAATGGTCTAAAATTGACGGTGGTGATGGTTGCAGGTATCTGTGAATTTACTAAAATATGTGCTCTAAATGAGTGAATGGCAAGAGTGTGTGAATTGTGTCTCAATAAAGCTGTTTTAAAATGTAGTATAGAACCTCAGGAAAATATTCATGACATTTTCAAAGAATTAGTTTCAGTCTACAATCATAGCTGTTTCTGTCTCTTGTAAAACTGTTTACTCACATGGAAGTGCTTCATGGAATACTACCAGATGGCATAATACTTTTCCCAGAAATTTCTAGGAATATATGAAATGCTTACACATACACTCAGCCCAGCTAGAGGAGGATCACCACTTGTTTTGCTACTGGTACTGGTCTTCTACTCAGATTTCCCCATCTCCTAGAGGTGAGAACTTCTGGAAATCTGATTTGGAGGCTAGATCTCCGGGGGGAGGGGGGGATCATTAACAATAAGAATACTTGGGGGTGGGGAGAGACTAGTGTGGAGTGTTGGAGAACGGGCTGGAACTACTTAACAGGTTTAATGTTAACCCTTCACCAGATCAGCTGCCTTCTGCAATGTCAACCTGAAGGCTTTCGGCAACTGTACTTCTATGGGAAGGTCTACAGCATTTCTATTTCTTCATTTCGTATTACTTGTCTTAGGTAAATGGTTGTGTTTAACATGCTATTAGAGCTTAATTTTTCACTTAAACGAGGTGAAAGCATGTTTTGTGATTGTCTTTGTGAATTACTACTCATTTTCTTTCTGTCTTATCATAGGAACGCCCACCGAAGCCTGATGTTCCCTGGCTGCTTACTCCCATGTGGTTCGCGTGCTGTGACTTAGAAGAATCGTTTCCAGTTTTCAAGAGACTTACACGATATCTATTGTTATATCCTATTTCCATACGTTTAGGTAATATGGCAAAAGGGGGTTGTAAACAGGCTCATCAATCCTAACTTTAATGTCTCCTTTAACCTTTTCTGCAATATCAGTATTTTCACTAGGAAATTTCTTCATTGCTAAGAAATTATGGATTTCTCATTTTCCCAAGTTCTTGAGTTTCAGTGCTTATCCCATGAATTTTCAATATTTCATGTTCACTGTTATACCTAAAACTGGACACGATGGGTCTGGGCTGACTGTGAAGCAGAGACAAGGTTGAACCAAATATGAGCATTCACTCCATTATTGCCGGCAAATGGGAGAGCAGTGGGATTTGTCCACATAAGACCTGCTCTGCCCTTCCCTGGCTGGTTATATAGGGCTACATGGGGGGGGAGAAGGGGAGGATGGCTGCAGGGTCTGTGGTCCTTGTGTCTCCTTCCAAGGTCTTGAAATCTGATAACAAGGTTATTTTCATTGGTGTTAAAACTCAGTTCCACCAGGCCCTAGGACCTGTGAATGGTTTGCATTCCTGAGATAAACTCCTGGAGAGGAGTTCAGGCACAGCAACCAAATCAAAGCACATCCTGTCCTTTGTCTGTTCTCAAAATGCATTTTCTTTTCTGAGCAATGGACCCATCTAGGCCCCAAGGTGTCTCATCTTTTTACAGCTCTGTTTTTCTTCTTGTGGTACATCCTCAAGTTTCCCAGGATCTGCAGGAAAACTTCTTATCTATAGTTAGTAAGGTGAACAATCATTAAACTATGGTCCTATTCCTATTAGGTGCCCTCCCCCCCTTTCACAATCAGGGTTAACAGAGTATGACCAACATCTGTTAACCCAACATACCTATTTTAGGGGTATATACATTTACTGCTAAGTATTGCTTTAGCTACATCCTATAGTTTTTTTGAAACCTTTTTTATTGAAGGATAACATACATGTATGTAGAAAAATGCACAAAATCAACATTGTACAACTGGATTAATTCTCAAAAACTGACTATACTTATGAGCCACTACCCAAAAATAAAGAGCTTGAACAGTCCCAGCCTCCCAGGATCCCCTGATGCTCCTTCACAGGACGCCTACCCTTTTCCCCAGAGGTAATGACTGCTCTGATTATAACGTTCTATATTAATTTTCCCCACAACTTTTAACATGCAGCCTTTTCAATTCTAAAAGTACACTTTTAAATTCGAAAGCATTTAAGTTATTTGGGGATAATCTTTTTATTAATAATTGAATTATATTATAGAAATTATATTCAGAGTCTGCATAACACTGATTTTTTGTAAATTATTTAGACTTTTTGGAAACTGTTCCATATGCAACATTTCTTGGGTGCAAGACTCTATAAGTTTAGTTAACATCTATCACAATGCATAGCTACAGAATTTTTTTGTGCGATGAGAACTTTTGAGATTTACTCTTTTAACAACTTTAAAATATGCAATACAATATAATTAGCCATAGTCACCATTCTGTACATTATATCCCCAGGACTTATTTATTTTATAACTGGAAGTTTGTACCTTTTGACTCCCTTGACCCATTTTGCCCACTCATGCACCCCCTCCTCTGCCAGCTACCAATCTGCTTTCTGTATCTGTGAGCTTGGGAGGCGGGGGTGGTTATTTTGGTTTGGGGTTTTTTGGATTCCATATGTAAGTGAGATCTTAGGGTATTTGTCTATCTCTGGCTGACTTATTTCACATAGCATAATGTCCTCAAGGTCTATCAAGACTTATTGTGTTTATTTTATTAATGTTTTTTATACTTGACCTGTCCGTTTCTAAGAGAGATAGATTAAGATATGCCACGGTGATTAACAATTCCTCTTTGTGATTCTGGAATTTTCCCCATTGTATTTTGTGAAACCATGCTGTTAAGTATAAATGGGTTTAGGGTTATCATCTTCCCAGTAAATTGTTCCTTTTTTATTAAATAATATTCCTCTTTATTCTAAAAAGTGCTTTTTTGTTTTAAAATATATTTTTTAATGTTAACATTATTGCATCAGGTTCCTCTCGGTTAGTGTCCCCCCTCTATATTCTACACTCTTCATTTTCAACTCTTGTATCATTGTCATGGTTTTGGTGTATCTTTAGTGGGATTTAGTTGCTTTAAACAGTGTGATAGTCTCTTTTTTAACAAACAAGTTTTAATGCAATTATATTTACTATGGTTATTGATCTATTTCAGAGGCTCTCAACCGGCGAAGATTTTGTCCCCCAAGGGATATTAGGCAATGTCTGAGGGCATTTTTAGTTGACATCTAGTAGCTAGAGATCAGAGATGTGGCTAAACATTCTACAAGGCTCAAAATAACCCTCCACAATAACTAACCACTTGGCCCAAAATGTCAGTAGAGATAAGGCTAGGAAACCCTGATCTGTTTGGACTTACTTCTGTGGTTTTCTGTTGAATTTTTTCTGATCCAGTTTTAAATTCTTTGCTCTTTAATTAGGCTGAGGAGGGGGAGATTAGTATATTTACATTTATAGAAAACTTTGATAGTAAATATGGAGATTTCTTAAATTACCAAATATATTTACTTAATTTCAAAGTCAAAACAACTCTAATTAAGGCATCTTTTTAAATTATGTTTCCAGGATCTTTTGAGACTTACATTAACCCACAAGAATTGGAAGCATATACCAAAATGAAGGAAGAAATGGAATTCACGACAGAGGAAGTCGAGGCCACAAGCCAGGATTCGTGGCTTTCAAATTTAAGCTCTTTCCATAAACTAATCCTTATTAAATGTTGTAAAGAAGAAAAGGTAAGTTATTTTTTTAACTAAAAGACTATGTTATAACTTTCACTAAAGCTCACCATCTAGTTATGATCCATGAATAGATTAGATTTATCTGCTAGCCATGGTGGTGAGACACACATTCATGGGCTGGTGTGCAGACACATTCACCCGTTATTGCCTCTTCCTCCACCTGGGAATCATGAGCTTTATGGACCACTGGAGAGACAAATAGCACTATGGCAAATCCAAAGACAGGAAACTGCGTGCTAATTCCACAGGAGACCTGGGCTCTATTGCTTTACCCCATGCATCTCCTTTCTGTATTCTATGTACTTGACCATATTCTTGGATATATGTATTGCTGGGTATACATTATGTAGAGTAGAGCCTAACCAAGTGTGTGTTTTATGCAAACTTATTTTCTACATATTTAAAACATTTCGTAGAGAAAATCAGTTCATACACATGAGAAATTGCACATGTAACCAAATAGTTTGTGATCTTTCATTAATAAAGCCATTGGAAACCTAGATTTCTCTAACTGTTTAAATTCAAAAGCATTTCATGAGTGTATTACCACTTTTATATTTACATAGTAGCCCCAAGGAACAAGCTACTGGTGCTTCACCCTGTTGTCATTTACTGTAAACTCTATGAGCACTTTTTTTGTCAAAGTAAAAAGCAAATAGCTCATATCATTGAAAACATTTTAAATAAAAATAATAAAGAAGTTAATGCTGGAATTATACTTAATCACACAGTGACACAGCTAGAACAAAGTTCCAGACCCTCGGCCCTGTCTCAGGGCCTGTCCCTTCTGGACCTTGCTACCTTACAGTCAGCACCACAATACAGCCTCACTGAAGTGGGCAAGCCTGTGAACATATTTTCCCAGTGTGGCCACATTGGGGTGCCATCCAAACCCTTAGCCCTGAACCGGGTTGGGATGTCCCACCTTCTCCCCACCCAAACAACAACAAAAACATGGTAAGACTTGTTTGGACAGGGTGCTGCCAACACCCAATGGAGGGTTAACATTAAAGCCCGGCCGCTGCCTACAGCTGTGAAGGATGTGCCCTGCACCACCTTTAAGGCAGCCATTCACATCGTAGATATGGTAGGTTAGCTTTGTATACTTACCATGACAGTTTTCTGGCACAAGTATCTTGAAAAGGGACACCTCTTTCTGTCTCAAACAAAGGCTCCATATGGGCTACGGAGAGACATGGTCTGCAAGGGCAGAAAAGGGGCACATCGGCGAGGGCGAGAGCAGCGAGGGAAACACACTGGTGTAGGAAATGGCCAGGCAGGGGCGCGATCATCAGGCCTGAGGCTGGCTCCCAAGAGAGGTCAGAAGACGCTGATGAGTGAAAGAGAGAAAGGTGGTGAGACGATGTATGCAGTCAGTTCTTCTGAGAAGCTGGCTTGTGAATGAAGAGCAGTGAAATGAAATAGCAGCTGGGAGGGGACTACAGTCAAGGGAAGGCTCTCGTTTGGGTTTTGAGAACAGGAGATGGTAGGGAGATGACGGAGAGAGGGAGAGATCAGTAATGCAGAGAGACAGTGGAAGGACTGACAGAACAGTCCAGGAGAATGCAGGAGGGAGAGAACCAACGGAGGCAGGCTGGGGCAACAGCAGGGTTATAGATAGACGGAACGATGGGGCGCTTTCCTCCCCTCCAATAGTTCATCCTGCTCGGTGAAGTCAGGACAGCCACGGCTGTCAGCAGTTGCGCCGTGTCCAGTTTCACCAAATTGATCCATAGGAGAAATATACCTGATCAAGAAAAAATGAGTTCAAAGGGCAGGGCACCAACCTCTGAGAAGCTGAAGGGGAAACAGGGTAAAATTATGAAGGATACTCAACCAACTCATTTTTTTTAATGTTTTTCTTTTCATCTTTCAGGTGGTTTTCGCTCTTACAGACTTTGTAATAGAAAATCTTGGAAAACGCTTTATAGAGACACCACCTATGGACCTGCCTACTCTATATCAAGACATGTCATGCAACACTCCCCTGATATTTATCTTAAGCACGGGCTCAGATCCCATGGGCGCATTTCAGAGGTTTGCCCGGGACAGCGGGTATTCAGAACGGTAAGGTCACATTGTGCAGTTTTAACAACTCCTATGAGCATCTCCTTGATAAAATTTTCCCTCTTTGTTCCCTCTGTGGAGCATGAATTCCTGCATAACACCTGTAATAGAGTCAACAATAAAATAAAATAACCCTCCCATAGTGCTGGGTTTATTCTAGCAATGCAAGGATGGTTAAAATTTTGAAAATAAATTAATGTAATTCACCACATTCAAAGGTTAAAGGAGAAAACCCCTTTAAGTAAGTAAGAAAACTATTTCAAAAGATGCAGAAAAAGTATTTGTTGAAATTCAACATGCATTCATGGAAAACAATTTAAAACCTCAGTGAGATACCACTACACATTAATGAGGTGTAAGCAAGGACATGGCGAGACGAGTGCTCTCATCTGCTGCTGGGAGAAGTGTGGAATGGTGGCCTCCCTTTGGAAAACAGTTTGATATTATAAAAAATTTAAACATACACAAACTCTTTCCAACCAGCAGTTCCACTCCTAGGAATATACACAACAAAATAGAACACACACGTGTACCCAAAGACATGTACAAGAGTGTTTGTTGAAGCATTGTATGTAATAGCCAAGAACCATAAACAATCCAAATGACCATCAAGAGCGGAATGGATAAATAAATTGTAATAAAAATGAATGAACACAGTGACACACAATAACATGAATTAACCTAAAAAAAAAAATGTTGATTGAAATAGACCAAATAAAAATAAATGAACTATATGACTCCACTTATAAAATTCAAAAACAGGCAAGACTGACCTATAGTGTTAGAATTCAAAATTGCCTTTGAGAGTGAAGAAGGCTCCTCACTGGGAGGGTGATGGTGATGGCCTCTATTTTGCCCTCAGTGGCGGTACATGTGTATATTCACCTTGGGAGAATTCATTAAGCCCTGCATTAATGATTTGTGTACTTTTTCCATAGATATGGTAGCCTTCGATTCTTTTTTTAAGCTTTTAAAAATTGACCTATCAGGTTGGAAGTCAGGATAGCGCTTGCCTTTGGGAAGAAGGAAGGGAAATGATGGAATGGAAAGGGGCACAGGAGAGATGTCTCTGGGGTGTTGGCAAAGTTTTCTTCTCAACCACAGATGTTCATTTGTGATAATTCGTAGAGCTGTATATTTGTTCTTTGCACTTTTCTATATGTGTTATAGTAAAAGTGTTGTATTTTTTTAAAAACACATACTTGTACATCTATCAGAATGAGCATTTATAATTTTTTTTAAAATCCTCACCTGAGGATATTTTTCCCATTGCTTTTCAGAGAGAGTGGAAGGGGGAGAGAGAGAAACATCGATTGGCTGCCTCCCAGATCAAGCCTGCAATGCAGGAATGTGCCCTTGACCGAATCGAACCCGAGACCCTCCAGTCCAAGGGCCGAGGCCACTGAGACAAACCGGCTAGGGTCAGAATGAGGATTTTAAATGTGTGCTTATTCTAGGCAAGAGTCTACTGTATTTCAATGTCTTAATAATTTCATTGCTTAAAAAATAGCATCGTTGTTGTTCAACTCAGGCTGCAGTCAATTTCACTGGGGCAAGGACAAGGGCCCATCGCTGAAAGGATGATCAAAGACGCTATGAAATCGGGAAACTGGGTGTTTTTGCAAAACTGCCATCTTGCTGTCTCTTGGATGCTGGCGATGGAAGAGCTAATTAAAACCTTCACAGATCCAAGTATGTTGAACACACATCATTTGCATAATATACCATTTTATGTAGCCCTTCTTGTTGAATCAATTCCTTATAATAATTTTTTGTTGTTTCCCCATATTAAAGAGGAGAGATTTGAGAGCATTAGTTAAGTCACACAATCCAGATATGAAAAAAGGTCTTCAGACTCCAAGTTGAGAGTATTACCCCCTGGAACACTTCTGTTTCAGGTTGCCATCTGTGGGAAGCCATTCAAATTCAAAATAGATGACATATAGGCATGATAAAAAGAAACAGAAAAATGAATTTAGGACAAAGCAGGAAATTAAATCTTTCACTATAGAAGGAGAGAAGTTAAACAGAGTTGAGATTACCACCAGTTCCCTTAGAGTAGCATTTTACTGCTTTGTATCCTAACTACAGTATCACCACCTTCTTTCCCACTTAAGAATGTATAATGGGCTGCGAAGAGATACAAAGTGGAGTTAGAATCTAATCATTTTAAAGCGTTAGTATAAAAATAATTGAAACCTTAGGAATGGTAATAAACAGGGTGGGTCCTGCTTCTGCACTCTGCCAGGAGGCCATGGGAGAGAACCACCGACCTAAAGTATCCAGAGCCCTCCCCTGGGGTCTTCTTTTGTGTCTCGACCACAGAAAGCTCCCTGGAAAGGTGAGAGCTGTGCAGCTGCTCTTAGAAGGGACTTGACTTCATGCTGCCCGTTAAGGAGAAGAGCTGCTCCCTCAGAGTGGCCAGCCTGCAGAGTGGCCAGCCTGCGGTGGTTACCAGGCGATAGCCAGGGCTTCTCCGCCTTCCCCTGAAGGCCCCTGGCTGCCTGGTTCCCCTGCCCTGCCTCCTGCAGGCTGCTTCTAACAAGGCTGAAGAGTCATTCGCATCTACCGTCCAGAGTCTCCACTCTTTCCACTCTTGCAGTGCAAATAAGAGATGGCCTTATTCCAGATAGTCCTGTGGCTTATTTCCATTTAAATGATTAAAGAAAAATGACAAGAATGTCTTCCTTATGATTTAGGGATCCCAATGATTAGGGTTATCATTAAGAAAAAATGCCAGGGAAGGCATCGAAAAGGCAGTTTGCTGCAGTGTTACTGCATGAGCCTTCAGAATACAGAGACGTGTTCAGCTTGCCTGTGACCTGTACAAGAGCATGTACCAGTTCGTCAAGGAAGCTGGGGGGCTGTGGAAGCCAGAAATCCTTAGTGGGTTTTAAGTGATTGCATCTCACTAACACTTAAGTGAATAGAAAAATCCTCCTCTGGCCCTTGTTATGGTCATTTATTAACAATTTGAGTTCCGATGTTTAACTTGAATTAGTATAAAATAAAATACATTTGGGTGATAAGCTGAAAAGAAAAAGTGAACGAAAAAAAGAAACAGAAACTCTGGACATGAAATTTTAAGACCCAAGTAGAGTTCTACCCCCACCACTTCCTGACTGTGCATATTACATTCCCACTCTGGGCCTCAGTTTCCCCAGCTATAAAATGATTGCATCGTATCATTGCTAGAAGTCCCATGCTAAGATGATTTCTAAAGTTCCATTCCAGCTCTAAACTTCTATGATGTCTGTGAAAATTAAGATTCTTGATGCTTTAGCAATTATAAGAAAAAGTGTGGAAAAAAGTAGAAAACACTTCTCTAAACCTGGCCTTTTTTTATTCTTCGGGTTTTTTGGTTAGTGAAATCTTTAGCCCTAGGACTTCGGTTGATGTTTGACTTCTATGCCTAATAGTTTCTACGTGCAAGTAATTTTAGTGTTGCTCTAGAGTTGTACTAGTGCTAACTTTTAATTTTGGCTATTTAAAGTAGCTCATTAATTTAACTCAGAGAAACATAAATTCAACCTTGATCTGCAGTCATTCATTCAATAAAACTTGAGAACGTACTATGCACCATGCACTGTTTTGAATGCTTAGGGTATGTCAGTGAACAAAACAACCCCAGATACCTGCTCTCCTCAAGCTTATATTCTAGTGAGGGGAGACAGACAATAAATAAACCAAATGTAAGTAATTTATATGGTAAAACAGAATATGGCCAGTGCTTTGGAAAACATTAAAAGGAGAGTAAGGAAAATCAGAAAGGTCAGGATGGAATGTGGGTAGGGAAGAAGAGTGGATAGCAATTTTAAGTGGTGGGGTCCGGGAAGACCTCTTTGAGAAGGTGTCACTTGATCAAGACTTGAAGAAAGTGAGGGAGTCAAAGGAAGAATATTCTGGGCAGAAGGAACAGGTAGTGCAGAGGCCCAGGGAGGGAGCCAGCCTGGCGTGTTGGAGGAACACCATAAATGCACTTAAAAATCAGTACCGAGAAAGTCACCTTTAGATGATTCCTGCGTCTTCCTGTGATGCGAATGGTGATCTTCCCAACATTGCTTTGGCCTTTTTAACCTAGAATGGAGCACATTCTTTCTTAGATTCTCAGTCCTCAGCTCGGAAAGTGTATTGGCTTAACCTCTTGATGTTCTGCTTGAGGTCTCTCCATTTCCCTGATCCCTTGGTTCCCTCTGCACCTTCTCTGCAGAAGGGAGAAGTCCCCTTCTTCTCCATAGGCTTCCTGACCTCTTTTATGCAATTCGTCTTTAATTGAATGGTTAAGAAAAAAACTTCATGAGCATAAACGCACTGGCAGTCACTGTCCTCTTTTTCAACTGAAATGTTTCTCCATTTCAGAGGGAAGGCCCTTAACATCTCCTCCAAGTATTGAAAATTAACACGTCTCTCATTTCTTTACTCAAATGTGCCAGTGTCTAGACTGCCAGACCCCCCTGTATGAAGATTTCTGTAAAGATTCCCTCAGAACATTTTACAACACACTTAAAAAAGATTAACGACTCTTTAAACAGGGCTTACAGCAGTCTTTTGCTACCCTGTAATAATAACTGCTTATAGAAAAGTGTCACTAAGAGTTAAGCATTTCCCTTTTTATTGTTTTGTCTTTGTTTTGAACAGATATTGCTATCAAGGACAGTTTTCGACTGTTTTTAAGTTCCATGCCTAGTAGCACATTTCCTGTTACAGTTCTTCAAAACTCTGTCAAGGTAACGTGTGCAGGTGGTTGGAGTGACGTGAAGTGGCTGGCCTCAGAGTGTTCACCCAGTGGGTCCAGGGAGCTCAGGCCCCGAGCAGGGCTGTGTCCGTGTCTTGCAGCCCAGGGGGGAGGGAGGGGGGAGTCAGTCTCTCTTCCCTGGATAGCCAGCAGGGAAGCAGTTTCCCAAGCCACTGCCCATCCTTGTGCCCTTGTCCTGTTGGTCATTCAACTCTTCCCCCTTCCCCTCGATCAAAACCTGTCAAGGATGCAGAGTGATGAGAACAGGATCCTTCCCAGAGTAAAAGGAATGTTTCAGCATTTGAGACGCAGGAAGACCTTCAGGCTGCTGGGTTTCAGTGCTGAAAGTTTCCAGTATGTGAGCAGCATCTGAGGATGTTCACACAGGGGTGTTCAGAAGGGATCCCTCTTCCTTCCCTGCCCCACGTCATCAAGGCAAAGTGTGGGATGATGCCGTGTGTTGGGACGACCAGAAAATCCAATGCAAAAGGCCTTGTTTAGAAAAACGGACACCAAATGGAAGTGTCTGAGGTCCTTGTGCAGGTGGTTTACCCACTGTAGGTATGAGGACCCTACCAGGCCTTGTTCTCCCAGGACGGAGCCTGAACAAGTTCAGAGCAGGCATGGAAGTGCCAGGATACCCTGTGGGCATTGGTTATCTACATTTTCTCAGTGGCTTCGGTCCACGTATGTTATTCAGAAATAGTGCAAATCTGTTAAATCACCCTCTCTGCTACATATGTTCCATCTAAATCCAGGTAACCAACGAGCCCCCAAAAGGCTTACGTGCAAATATCAGACGAGCATTTACTGAAATGACTCCTTCATATTTTGAAGAAAATATACTTGGACAAAAATGGAGACAAATAATATTTGGCATTTGTTTCTTCCATGCCATTGTTCAGGTACACTCAATTCTGTTCCTTAATAGAAACAAGAAAGTGTATTTTGTGAAAATAAATAAAAAGTAAGAATTAAATGAAAGCTTACGAATGGCATCATGAGGCCCTGTTCTGTGTCTGAACCCAAGTAGTTTTAACTCAGTTGCTGATCTCTGTGCTCCCCTTGCCTCGGTATCTCGCAACCTTGCCTCCCAGCCCTATTCTGATCTGACTTCAGACCACCATCACCTGGATGATTACAGCAGATCAGACTCAAAGCACAAAACTGATCTCAGCTATGCCTCATTCCCCAAAATCTGCTTCCCCTCCAGACTCTTATTTCTGAAATCAGTGCTCCCCCCCCACCACCTATAAGGAGAATTTCAGGATTCTTTTTGTTCTTCCCTCTTGACACATACATATCATTAAACCCTCATTTTTCTTGCAATAAGTTTACTCTCACTTGTTCCTATTTGAGTGGCTGTGCCAACCTTCAGAGCTTCCTCCCTGTGACTCGAGTCCCAAGTCCCCTGGAAGGTGATCTTCAGATGAGCAATACTTTCTCCTTCCTTCTGTTCAAATCTCACTGCTGTGGTCTGGCATTTATCCTGTGGCCTTGTCTTTGAATTCCGACTCTTCAAATCTGTATTTCTAGATGGTATCTTGATTGGACTGATTGACTGCTTTTCAAATGTGTAGTCTATAGAGAAAAATACCAGTATAGAAAAAAAAAGATTATGCATGTAAGATATGGGATAAGTAAACAAGATCCTACAGGAGAAGATCCAAGAGGATTGGGTTTCCAGGTATGAGGCCCTTGTTCTAGTAAAAGCAGTTGAGATGAGGAAGTGATTTAAAATTTAGAGAAAATATGAAAGCAAGAGAAGAGAACATAGGACCAATACTCTGGTATAATCAATCATCAGTTTAGAATTAAGAAATTAAGGTGGGATAGGTAGAAAACAAACAGAGGGAAAGATTTCATTATGAGAAGTCATGAAACAAGGATTATAATTCTCTGTACCAGTTCTAAAAAAAAAAAAGACATCACTGTAGAGAAGTCAGTATGCAGTCAGCAGAGCACAGCATGACTGAAGAGCCTGCGTGATGGACACGCTCCTTAGAACAGTAGGGGGAGCTCTCTCCACTGGATGGGGATGTGTCAGTATTTTTTTTATATATATCTTTATTGATTTCAGAGACAGGAAGGGAGAGGGAGAGAGAGAGAGAAACATCAATGATGAGAGAGTCATTGATCAGCTGCCTCCTGCACACCCCTGCTGGGGATGGAGCCCGAAACCTGGGCATGTGCCCTGACCGGGAATCGAACCCCGATCACCTGGATCCTAGGTTGATGCTCAACCACTGAGCCACAGAGGCTGGGCTAGTGTCAGTACTTTTAAGCCAAAGGATACTAGTTGGGATTTTTTTCATATTTTGTTGGAGAAGTATTTTTTTTTTACCATGAAGAACGAATGTTCTTTGACAGGTCTGTCCTATTTCCAGTAACATCAATTGTTCTTTTAGAAATATTGGAGAGGGGCCGGTACTGGAAGACCAGGTGCCTCCTCGATTGGTGGGAGCCACACTGAAAGCCCAGCTGAAGTTAAACTGCATGATTAACTGATTTCACAGAATGAGGATGCCCGACTTCAATAGGAACCTTTTCATTTTCAATATTTTACACAAAATCAATTTTAATAAATTTTATTTAAGACGGTTTTTATTTTCCATTCCAGGAAAGAAAAAAGTTTGGCCCTCTTGGTTGGAACATCTGCTATGAATTTAACGACAGTGACAGGGAATGCGCTTTACTGAACCTCAACCTTTACTGTCAAGAAGGAAAGATTCCCTGGGATGCGCTGATTTATATTACTGGTCAGTAGGCCCACATGGCCACGGCATCCAGCTGTGAGCCTCACGCAGCTGGTTCACACCCACCTGGTTCACACCCACCTGGCCATACAGAGATGGCTGCCCCCCCAGTGTTGGGTTGTGGTGGTGGTGACTTCTGATACTCCCTTTGTGACGATAAGACCATGACCAGTGTATCGTAACAATATTTACACATAGAAAAATGGGACAGGTGTTTCCTCCAGTAAGAATAGCAAAAACTTATATTGCTCTTGCTACATGCCAAGCATTATTTTAAGCACTTCCCATTAATTAGCAGGTTTAATCCTCACAACAACCCTGTAAGGTGAGGACAGAAATTATATACCTATTTTACACTTAACTAACCTGAGGCACACCATCCGTTTATAAGTGGTGACGCCAAGGTTTAAACCCAGACGATCTAGCCTCTGGAGTCTGTGCTCTTAAATTCAAAAGAATCTGAACATTGATTGAACTTCTGATTCAGGCGTGCTTGTGAGAAAGGGAAAAATATTTCAGGAATTAAAAGTTTTAGCAACTATTAATTATGGCCACATGGGATCTTTCTGACCAAATTAGACCCAGTTTGCACCATGTAGGTCCGAATAATGAAGCAGAGATTTGCACTGGGAAGCGGGGGAAGGGAGAGCTCTGGAAGGGAACAGAATGGGAATGGGTGGTCTTCACTGGTGAGCAAGGGGCATGTGAAACAGCAGAGAGGCGTCAGGTGACCTCGAGCCTTGAAAGGCAAATGAAACCTTCAAACAACGGATAATAAAACAACAGATAATAAAAATGGATGAGGGCCTATCCTCAGGGTGGACCTAGAAGGGCGAGAGGGTGGGCATGGAATCTGGGAGGCGACTTTATGCCCCGGCCTCCTGTGGGGCCAACAGTGCCGAACAAGATGGTGATGTGAGCAGCTCTGCTTACCCTGAATCTTCCACGTCCTAGTTTTTGTCTCCCTTCCCCCACCCCTAGAACCCTTGACCTCTCAGGTTACGTCAATCTCTACTGCTATGGAAGGAACGGTGGTTTATTTTATTTTATTATTTTATTTTACTTATTTTATTTTATTGAGAGCGAGAGAGAGAGGAACATCGGTTTGTTGTTCCACTTACTTCTGCATTCGTTGGTTAATTCTTGTACGTGCCCTGACCCGGGATTGAACCCGCAACCTTGGCGTATCAGGACGACACTAACCAATTGAGCCACCCGGGCAGGGCAGTAAACTGTGTTTTTAAAAGGATAAAAAGGAACAAGACAAGATGTATCTACTCTCGCTACTTCTATTCAACACTGTGTTGGAGGTTCTAGCCAGGGAAGTTAGACAAGGAAAAGAAATAAAAGTCGTCCAGATTAGAATGGAAGAAGTAAACCTGTCATTATTTGCAGATGACATGATCTTGTGTATAGAAAAGTCTAAGAAGTTCACACACACACAAGAAAAACCCTAGACGTAATACTAGCGAAAAAATTAAAAGAAGTGCAGGCGTGTACACTGAAAACTGAAAAGTATTGCCCAAAGTATTAAAGATGACCTAAATAAATGGAGAGACGTGATATGTTCATGAATTAAGAGACATGATATTGTTAAAATGGCAACATTCCCCAGACTCATCTATACATTTAATGCAATCCTACTTAGCACTTTTGCAGAAATTGGCAAGCAGATGATAACATTTGCATGGAAATCCTAAGGACTCCAAAGAGCAAAAACAACCTTGAAAACACAGAACAAAGTCAGAAGAGTTAGTGTCCCAATTTCAAAACTTCTGCAAAGCTCCAATAATCAAGACAGTGTGGTACTGGCGTAAGACTACACATATGAACCAATGCAACAGAACTGAGAACCGAGAAATAAACCCTTTATATTTATGGTTAATTGATTTTTAACAAAGGTACCAAAACAATTCAGTAGGAGGAGGATAGCCTTTTAACAACTGATTCTGGGATAATCAGATATCCATCTGTAAAAGGATGAACTTGGATCCTTATCTCACACCATATACACAAAATTCAAAATGAGTGATATATCTAAATATGAGAGCTAAAACTATAAAACTCTTAGAAAAAAGCATAGAAGTAAATCTTCGTGACCTTGGGTTACTCAATGACTCCTTGGATATGAGGCAAAAAGCACAGCAATAAAAGAAAAAAAAATAAAATGTTTAAAACATTTAAATCTTTCACACTTCAACAAACACCATCAAGAAAGTGAAAAGAGAAAACCACAGACTGAGAGAAAATATTTGCAAATCATATCTCTGATAAGGCAGTTGTATAAAAAGTATATAAAGAATTCCTACAACTCAGCAGTAAGAAGAAAAATGATCCAGTGGGGGGAAAAAATGAGCAAAAGGTTTGAATAGATGTTTCAACAAAGAAGACCTACAAATGCCCAGTAAGCACATGGAAAAACGCTCAGTCATTAGCAAAATGAAAATTAAAGCCTCATCAGACCCACTAGAATGGCTATAATAAAAAAGACAGAAACAAACGGTGACAAGAATATGGGGGAAATGGAGCCCTCGTGCATTGCTTGTAGCAATGAAAAATGGTGCTGCTGCTTCGGAAATTTTTTTAAATAGACTTACCATATGAACGCAGAAATTTCACTTCTATGTATATACCCAGGAAAAACGAAAACGTGCACACACACAAACTTGTAAACATATGCTCATAACAGCATATTCATAATAGCCCCAAAGTGGAAACAACCTGAATGTCTTATCAGCTGGTGACTGAATAAGTAAACTCTAGTATATCTATGCAATGTAATATTACTCAGCCATAAGAAGGTATAAATTACCAATACATGCTCAACATGGATAAACCTCACAAACTTTATGCTAAGTAAAAGAGGCCAGATACAAAATAGCATCTGTTGTATGGTTCCATTTATATGAAATTTGCAGAAAAACCAAATCTCTACAGACAGAAAGTATATTTGTGTTGCATGGGGCAAGGGGTAGAAATGTGGAGTGACTGCAATGGGCACAGATTTTTGGGGGGGGGCGATAAAATCGTTCTAAAATTAGATTGTTGTGATGGTTAATTTACAACTTGGTAAATTAACTAAAAGCTACTAAACTATACATTTTATTTTAATATACATTACTAATACATGTATTAATTATACATTTTAATTCATATATAATTTTATGTGAATTTTAAAATTATAACTCTCATTAAAGATGTTTTTAAAAGGGAGTAAAAAGCAACACTAATTGATATTTGCTAGTGGTGGGATTTTAGGCAGTCACTTAGGGAATTAATCCAGAAAATACTGACTAGGACTGCTCTGATAGATGCTGGAAATACAAAGATGTCATTGTCCCTGCCTACCCAAAACTCAGGCGGTGGAGAGTAGAGATAATGAATAAATTATAATATACTATGATAATTACCAGATTAGAAGTGTGTGCACAATGCTATGGGAATTCAGAAGGAGCAGCTAACACTGTCTGGAGGAGCCTGGGAAAGCTCCACCAAGGAGGCAACGGTCAAGCTGGGTGCTGGTCAGTGAGCTGGGCTCACCAGGAGAGGAGGCCGGAGAGCCCACTGGGCAGGGAACAGTGACGTTTAAAACCCCCTGTGTCCATGTGTGGCATGACCATAGACACCATGAGGCGGTCAGTGGGGCTGAAGCATAGGATGAAGAGGAAATGTGTGATGCAGGGGACCTTTGTCTTCAACATCAAAAAAGAGAGAAGCCGGGACACACCCTGAAAGGCCTGTGTGCTGTTAATAAATCTGGGCCCTTCCTTGTAGGTAACTGTTGGCAATTACTGTCTTTTCGGGTGGGAAGAGGTGCGGTAACTTGTAAAGCTATAACCAGTGCGAGACAAGGAGTGAACGGGGGCGGCGGGGTCTGGACAGGAGAGAGTAAGCGTAAATATTGAGGAGGCTTTAAATGCAGGGGGCATTTGGAGTTGAGAGGGGCATCTTAACACTTCACAGCGTCGGCTACAGCTGCAGCAGGCCCTTAGATCGGAACTCCAAGTGGGCAGGACAGAGCCAAACCCAAAGCCTCTCCAGTTTGTACTGGGCCATCCCCGAGCCAGCCCGTGGGGACAGAAAAGGAAGAGAGGAGGAGACCACCCCGCAGGCTCTGTGGTGCTGGCACCGGGACACGTGGCGGGCCTGTGTGGTGGGCACCCTCTCCCCAAGGCCCCTCTTCTGAAATGACCCACCCAGAAGACTCCTTCCTAAAAGTGAGACTAAAAGCGAGTCACCTACTCTGCATCTGAATGGGAGCGCTGCTGTTCACCCAGTTTGATCCAAGGGAGGGATAAAGCGAAACCTGGATGCAAAAGCACAAAGCCCTATGCTTTCTAAGGAAAATGTTCCTGTGCTGCTTCTCAAGATGCAGACCGTTTAGTTGGAAACGTTTTTTAGAATAATACGCTTTGGAGCAGTGCTTTCCTTTCACCGCTGACTTTTCTGAGACACCGTCAGGTAACTGGAGAAATTGGAGCTTTACTTTCCATCCGGCCCCAAGGGTCCAAGAAGAGCTTCAGGTTAGGCCCAGACTAGATGGGCTCACCAAAGAGATTTAAGCCAACTTTGTGTCCCAAGACTTCCCAGAGGGTGACGGAAGAACATTCCCAGGAAAGCGCAGCAGCATCTCTCCATTCTCTCTTAGAATTGCTAATACAGGGACTCAGCTACTTGGCTATCACCCCTGGTTCCCACCTCCCCTCCCCTCCCCCTGAGGCCTGGTCCAACAAGACTGACCAGGGTGCTTCACCAGGGGAAGGAAGGTAGGCGTCCCTGCCGGGAGCGCAGGGAAGCACACTGCCACCTTAGAAGAAATAAATTGAGATTCCAAAGACTAAAATAACTTTCTCTCAACCAACCATCTGGGCTTCGAAAAAAATGAATAAACTTTTTTCTGACATAATGGAAGAGATGGAGATGAGTGTGGACGAACAGTTAAATGATTCAGAAGTTGACAATGTCAGTATCATAAATAAAACCCTTCCAGGAACACGACAGTATTGAATAGTGAATTCTAGCAATGGATGTGGATTTTTTTCCCCCGAGAATTATTACAGCAATAGGTATTATTCCAATGCAGAATATATCGTTCTTGGCCCTGGCCAGATAGCTCAGTTGGTTAGAGCATCACCCCAATACACCGAGGGTGTGGGTGTGATCTCCGGTCAGGGCACATACAAGAAGCAACCCAATGATGCATAAATAAGTGGAACAACAAATCGATGTTTCTCTCTCTTTCTCGCTCACCCTTTCTCTTCCTCTCAAATCAATAAATCAGTGAAATGCATGTCATTCTTACTTGTAATTTGTGGATCACAATGGAGCATGCTGAACGTAGCTTCTTTGTGGAAAGAGACGGGATGCTAATAAGTTTAATTTCCCACAACATAATTTCTGTGAGGCAGGTTGTGTCTTCACTTTGAATCTATCATTTCCCCCTAGCTTAATATCCATAATTTGTACAGTACATATAGTTTGGGTGCCTCCTTGTAAACTCGTTGCCCCCTCCAAAAGCAATGTTTCACAGAAAGTGTGTTTTAGAATCCTGCAGTCAATGATGGGATGATATCCCTAATCGATATTTTGAGGCAAAAAAAAACAACAACAAACCCATAAAGAAGGAAGAAATACATAAACAGAACTCAGTGGCTTTAGTTTCAGTTATTTGGAAAATGCAAAATAATTAGAGTAGAGTTCATATACCAGATTTTTTTTTCTGCTTTTTAAAAATTGACTTTTATTCTCTTATGGGGAGGTTGTGGGAGGAAACTCCGTTGTGCTATTTCCACTCTCAGTGTTGTGGGAATATACTACAATAAATGTGTACAGAAATAAACCTGTCAGAATTGGAATATGTATATCAGTAAAAAAGAAATAATAATATGTTTTAAAATGCACATCCTTTGCAGGTGAGATTACATATGGTGGTAGAGTTACAGACACCTGGGATCAAAGATGCCTTCGTACTGTCCTGAAAAGGTTCTTTTCTCCTGAAACATTACAAGAGAATTATAAATATTCCGAATCAGGTGAGTGACTTTCCAGTACTATGGGAAACACCTTTTCTAAGGTGTTGGCAGCATCTCTCAGCTTTCATACAGGAGTCCTCTGAGTCCAGCCCTCACAACCCAGTCCCCAGGCCCGCCCTATCCCCAAGCTCGGCCACCTTCAAAACTGGTTTGGTCCTAACAGCACAGGGCTATCTATTGTTTTGTTTCTTTTCTAAAATGGGTTGTGTTCTGCAGATGTGTTTTCAAAGTTATATAAATTTGGAGCCCTTAACAAGGCGTAGCTTTCAGCAACACATCCCTGAATTGGAGAATCGTGAAATGTTCTGGAGGAGACACCCTGAAAGGTTAGGACGCTAACCGGGCCCACAAGGCCTCAAGAAAAGGCAAAGAAACTAGACACAGCACGGAGGCTTGGGAAGGACCGTCCTTGTTTCTGTGCGAGACAGCTGATTACAGCCACCACCTGAACCTGGCAGAGAACCCCCAAACTTGGCAGTACAAAGCTAGCCTATCTGAGACCTCTCCTTTCTGTGTTTTCAATAACAGGCATCTATTTTGCACCCTTGGCCGACAGCCTGCAAGAGTTTAAAGATTACATTGAAAATCTGCCGTTAATAGATGACCCAGAAATATTTGGAATGCATGAAAATGCCAACCTCGTTTACCAGGTGTGTGGCCTTTCAACGTAAAATATATATTCATATCGTGTATGTAAACTTGAAACATCGGTAATCACCTCACCAGCTCTGATAATATTGTTAAATAAACAAGTAAATGTTTCATCTTAACTTCAGCATTTGGTTCCAGTTTAGCTGGTTCCCTCTGGGTCCCTCACAGAACCCTAAAATCATGATGCATTTTCCTGTCACTGGCCACCGCCACCCACCTCCGGGCCTGCCTACTCCACAATCTACCCACTAATCTACCATAACATGGGGATTTGGATGTTCACCCAGACACTCCCTTCTCTTCTGCCTTCTCCCACTGTGCTGGGCATATTTGTATCATTTTACACAGGCTTATGGACCCACAGATGATTACATTATAAAAGTACAGTAACAGATATCCAAGACAGATAAATTAAAACACTGTTCTTTAAAAGCACAGCTCATCAAGGTCACAGTACCAGACCACAGCAATAGCTCCAAAGAGCAGGCTGGACAATTTTACTCCTTGAAGACCTCCTGAGTCCCCACCGTTACCTAAGAGTAGTCCAAGGTCCTCTCGAGGCTCCCCCATGACCTGGCCACTACATACCTTTCTAGTTTTGTCATCTGTCATGGTCAGGAGTCTGTGGCTAAACCAAAGCCATGAAATGAGCTATGTCCCTGAAGGCCCTGGAATGCTCTAAGGGTTAAAAACTAGGTTGGTTTCAGGAGGCTAAAAGGAATCAGCTTTCTTTTTTTTTTCCCCCTTAATCTTTCTTTTTAATTTAAATTTTGCCCCTACAAGTGTTAGAGGGTGAGGTTTGCCTAGATAACAAGAAATCCACGCAAAACAACAGAGGAACTTCGAGAAAAAACACCAAGAGGTTAATGCTCTGAAACCTCACGTCACGTTTCCACCATTAAAATTTTCTGTAATAAGCCATTATTCTTTTAGTTAAATATTTTCTCAATTGCCCGGCTTGTGTGGCTCATTGGTTTGGCATTGGTTCATGCACCAAGGTCGCTGGTTCGATTCCCAGTCAGCACACATGTGTGGGTTGCAGGCTTGATCCCCAGGAGGCAGCCAATCGATATTTCTCTCTGTTTCTCCCTCTCCCTTCCTCTCTCTCTAAAAAAAAAAAAAAAAAAATCAATAAAAACATATTAAAAAATAAACGTTTTTTCAATTAGAGAATTATGTTCTAAAACTCAATTCTCATTATTTCTTCCTCACTTTCATAAATGCCTTTTAAATGATTAGCTAAAAAATTTCAACCATTTTTATTGTGCTAGAATATATAACATAAAATTTTTCCTTTTAACCATTTTTAAGTATACAGTTCAGTGGCATTAAGAACTTTCACATTGTTTTTCAACCAAAAAAATTTAACTGTAACAATGACAACTATGTACTGTTCTTTTCCAATGAGCACATTTTTACCAGCTCTATCTTCAACATAAANCCTCTCTCTCAAAAAAAAAAAAAAAAAATCAATAAAAACATATTAAAAAATAAACGTTTTTTCAATTAGAGAATTATGTTCTAAAACTCAATTCTCATTATTTCTTCCTCACTTTCATAAATGCCTTTTAAATGATTAGCTAAAAAATTTCAACCATTTTTATTGTGCTAGAATATATAACATAAAATTTTTCCTTTTAACCATTTTTAAGTATACAGTTCAGTGGCATTAAGAACTTTCACATTGTTTTTCAACCAAAAAAATTTAACTGTAACAATGACAACTATGTACTGTTCTTTTCCAATAAGCACATTTTTACCAGCTCTATCTTCAACATAAAAAAAAAAAAGCCTTGTTTTTGATAACTGCCATTATTTCTAAAAGTGAACTATACATGCTAAAAATATTATTTTTTGAGAACTTGAGTCTTACTGTTCTGTCTCTTCCCACCGTTACAGTACAAAGAGACCAACACTTTGATCAACACCATACTTGAGGTTCAGCCCAGGTCGTCTTCCGGTGGAGAGGGGAAAAGCAATGATGAGATTGTCCAAGAACTCGTTACTTCCATCCAGGGCAGAGTCCCAGGTAATAAATAATTTCTGGAATCTGTATACAGTGGAGCTTTTAGGAATAAAAGAGCTGAGTGATAAGCAGGTGTCGAGCTGCTAATTATGTAGACTTGTCTTTACATAGAAAGCTCTTGTGATGTGGGAGGCCCTGTTTATAGACAGACTGGAAGCCTCCAGCACCTCAGTTGCCATAGCATAGGAGCAAATTGCTTTCTAGGCAATGTGACCTTAAGCACACTTTTTTCTGAGCTTCCTAATGTCTCTAGATCTGTGCTGTCCAAGAAAGTACCCACTAAGCCACAGGTAGCTACTTAAACTTAAAAATTCTCTCTCAGTTGCACAAGTGGCATCTCAAGTGCTCCCATATCGGATGATAAAAGATCATTTCCATTATTGCAAAATATTCTATTGGGCAGCCCTGCTCTAGAATCCATGTCTTGTTTTTTGGTTTTTTGTTTTTTCCATTCAAGATAAACAGCTGAATTAATCTCCCCTTGTTTTCTGGTGTGTTAAGGAATCACAGAGATCCACTTTCACACTTTTCTTAGAACAACTGTAGATTTAGATTTGTTAATCTATTGGTCATGGTTGGGAGAGATGTAAGGGAAAGAAAACTGAAGCAGAAAATAAAAGAATGACTGTAAGATAAACTGTTTCTCCCTCACAATAATTCTGACACCAAATATATGGATCTTTCCCTCACATTGAATAGTTTTCCAACTCTCTGGACACCAACTGGGTGTCCCTACAATTTAATTCTCACACTGAGTATCCAGAGTTAGCACAGTCCCACAACAAGACTGCCCCCATTTTAGATGCCAATTCAGGTCCCAGGTTGTGACCTGTAGTTCTGACCCGCCAGCTATAAATAGAGGGTTCCCACAACCCCAGCCCCTTCTTGGGTTCAGTGATTTTTCTAGAACAGCTCACAGGACTCAGAAAAACAGTTTGTTTTACCAGTTCATTTTAAAGGATATCACACAGGATAAAGAGCCAGTTGAACAATCCATAGGGCAAGGTCCAGAAGAGTCCCGAGTGCAGGAACTTCTGTCCCTGTGGAGTCAGGGTGCACCACCCTCCTGGCACATGGGCACGTCCACCAACCAGAAGGTCTCCAGGNCTCAGAAAAACAGTTTGTTTTACCAGTTCATTTTAAAGGATATCACACAGGATAAAGAGCCAGTTGAACAATCCATAGGGCAAGGTCCAGAAGAGTCCCGAGTGCAGGAACTTCTGTCCCTGTGGAGTCAGGGTGCACCACCCTCCTGGCACATGGACACGTCCACCAACCAGGTCTCCAGACCCTTTCAGTTAGGGTTTTTAGGGAAGCTTCACTTTTCGTAGGCATGGTTGGTTGATTAAATCACCAACCTCCAGCCCCTCTCCTCTTCTAAGAGGTCAGAGAATGAAGCTGAAAGTCCCAAGCCCCTAATCACAGGGCTGGTTCTGCTGACAGCTGGCTTCCCCGTGCATCTGGGCTTCCCAAAGTCAACTCAGTAGCAAACTAGATGTGGTCGAAGGGCTGTGAATAACAAAAGATGCTCCTTTTACCTTAATCACTCAGGAGTATTGCAGGAGCCAGGGTCACAAACCAAGTATTAAAAAGGTGATGCCCCTATTGCGTTTATCACTTAGGAAATTACAAGGGTTTCAGGAGCTCTGTCCAGGAGCTAGGGATGAAGGCCAAAATATTTAGTATCACAGACTGAGTCTTGCCAAGTTCCCCAGGAAAAAAAGGGGGTCTGTGTGACCTCAGAAACCAGTTATCTGCCTCCTAAAACAGGCCTCAAACGAATCTCTTCTTGGGCAGAGTCCTGTTGATGCTGATGTAAACCAAGTCAGTTATTTTAGAAAGCAATTTTTTTTTAATTTATGTTTATTGTTGAAAATATTACAGATGTCCCCTTTTCCCCCCTATTTACCCCTTTCACTCTCTGCCCCAGGCCTTCACCACACTGTGGTCTGTGTCCATGGGTTATGCATATATGCATGTAAATTCTTTGGTTAATCTCTCTCCCTGACCCACCCCACCCCCACCTTCCCTCTGAGATTCCTCAATCTGATCCAACTTTCATTGTCACTGAGTGAGTTTTGTTCATCAGTTTATTAAGTTCTTTAGATTCCACGTATAAGCCAGATCATGTGATGTTTGCCTTTCGCTGCCTGGCTTCTTTCACTTAGCATAATACTCTCCAGGTCCATCCATACAGTCCCAAAGGGTACGAGATCCTTCTTTACAGCTGCATAGTATTCCTTGGTATAAATGTCCCACAGCTTTTCCTTCATTTTTTTAGAGCTTACATGAGCCTCTGTTTGCTGGATTGTAGGGGGAAAGAAGAGCAAAATGTTTGATCCGGCTTGAACCATGGGCCTGTTTCATAATTCAGCCAGTCCCTTTGACTTACACTCAGTAACTTGGGATAAATATGAATTCTCTCATCTCTCAGTCTCCCAGTGCCAGCCCTCCCCTCCCAGAGGCACTGCGGGTGTGCTGGGAAGAGGGAGGCTTACGTGCCTGCATGGCAGAGCAGGCTCGGGGCCCCTGGCACCTCTGATCTCAGGGATGTCTCTTATCTACCAGGTAGCTGCTTGTCCTGCTAGCACTAGCTACTGACGTCTGCCTGGCCTGACTCCCGTTCAGCCTCGGCCCAGGTGCAGGAGAAGTTGCTTGAAGAAAGGTTAAGACAAGTACATTAGAACAGCAGTGACATGAAGACAGAAATCACTGAGAACTGACCTGAGGAACTGGCTCTCTCTGTTTCAGAAATACTGGAAATGGAGACTGCTTCTGAGAGCCTCTTCGTCAAGGATTCTCAAGGACGCCTTAACTCCCTGACCACCGTCCTTGGACAAGAAGTGGACCGGTTTAACAGCCTGCTGAAGCTAATCCACGTATGCCCGCTCACTGCCATCGCTGCTATGGGGTCTCAAAGCTGTGCAGAGAATTATATAAGGACAGGCGGGTGCTTAGAGCTTTCCATTCCCACCCCTTCAGCATTTCCATCTGAATATGCCAGCAACTGTTCAAACCCAACCTATTTAAAATCGAATTTCCCCTCCCCAAACAAGCCGTCCTGCCCTCTCTCTGGCTTCGTGAACATGGGACATTACAAATCCCCGGTCTCCTCCTCAGAATTACCATTGACAGACTAGACATTTGACCAGAGACCTAAGCATTAGATATTCAGTTCTTGTTCCTGACATTTAGTTTGCATTTAATAAGATGGTCTTTATGAAGACTGTGAAAACCTGCATTTCTCAAAGTGTGGGTCACAAAACACCAGCATTAGAATGTACTATGCTGCCAAGTTCAAAATGTAGAGTCCCAACCCCACTCCAGACCTGAGAGGGAATTCCTGGAAATTCCTGGGCATGTGGATTTTAAATACCAGCCCCCCCCCCCC